CTGAGGGCCTGGTCAGGGCACAGGGAGGTGACCGGCCAACCCCGCTTCTCCTCCTGGAGTGCCCCTTATGGATGCCCGTTTATCATCAAATCTAGACATGTGTGCACACAGACACACGTGTGCACACACAGGTGCAACCACACACACGCACACACACATGTACACACCAGACACGCACACACACACACTCGGGCTGGAGCAAACCCGGAAGCTACAGGCACACGCGTGAGCGGACGGCCCAGACTCTGCCTGCCTCCCGCTTCCTCCCCTCCTCCTGCGGAGGCCTCCCGAGCTCCCTCAGCAGCCTGCCGAGGACCAACCACCACCACAAGGGCACCTTTGTAGCCAGACAGCTGCGCCCCTGCCCCGGGAGCCCCTGAAGAGGGGCGGGGAGGGGGGGGGGAGTTCTTGGGAGGGGGCGGGGCATCCAGCAGGGCCTGCGCCAGGAGCCTGGCAGAGAGTCCACGTGACTGCACAGGCTGACGGTTCACACGCGGCTCAGGCAGGCACGACACAGCAGGCCCGCTTAGGCACACACACATTCACAACACACACACACACACACACACACACACACACACGACACAAAACCGCCCCGTAAATGCCACTTGCGGCCCTGCAGGAAAATAAGAGAACAAACAGAAAGGAACATAAATTAAAAATCGCTCAGAATCCCTCCAGATCCAGAAATGACCAGGGACAACGCTGTGACCTATTCTCCTCAAGACATTGTGGATGGATTGTACAAAATTGAAATCAGATGAAAATGAACTTGCTTTGTTCACTTAAAGAGAAAGTGGGTGACGGTGAATGAATAGACAGAATGCAGTCCATCTGTATAGGAGAGCATCATATGTACGCCATACGTACACCATACACACATCATGTGTACACATACATACATCACGTGCACATCATATGTACACCACACACACACCACACACACGTCCTACACACATCCTACATCCGTCCTGCACACATCATAAGTACATACACACTTCCTACCTACACACATCACACGTGTGTCCTACACGCACACCTCATACACACACCACATGCACGTCCTACACACACCTCACATGCACATCACATGGGCGTCCTACATGCACACCTCACGCGCACATCCGGACAGCGGAGCATCTCAGCCTTGAGAGGGAAGGACACTCTGATGCCTGTCCCGACGTGGATGAACCTGGTGAACTGATGCTGAGTGGAAGGAGCCAGACACTGAAGGACACGCACTGGAGGGTCCCACTTCCATGGGGTTCTGAGCAGGGTCCAGTCCACAGAGACGGAGAGACACGGTGGGCACTGGGCAGGGGAGCGTGGGAGGCTGGTGTCTAATGGGGACAGAGCCTCCGTGTGGATGCAAGAGGCCCAGGGATGGACGGTGGTGGTGGTGGCTGCACAGAGTGTGGGTGTGCTCACTGCCCCTGGAACGTGAAGGTGGGGACGGTGGGGGCTTGTGCTATTAACAGTAACAATAATGATGATGATGGGATGCAGAGAGTTGCGACCTGGGTCCTGGAGCAGCTGGGAAGTGGCTGAGGGTCCCCCCTCCTTAACCCTGGGCTGTGGGGGACCTCCCCGCCACCACCTTGCAGGGCCCCACACTGCAGAGGATGGAGATGCAGTGTCTGAAGTCCGCCGGCAGGGGGCGCCAAGCCCACACGCATCTGCCGGCTACTGCGGCCTCTCAGGCCAGGGCTTTTCGGGCAATCTCCCAGAAGGTTGGCGCCTGGCGGCCCGGCCCCCTGCACTGGTGCACACAGGAGACGCGTTCTTGCACGACGTTGGCTCACAGCTCTCCCCTTGGAGAAGAGGCTACCTTGGGGTCGAGCAAACTCTCTCAAGACCTGGTACTAGAGTGGTACTAGTGGTACTAGTGTGTGGTTCGGGCGGCCTGGGCAAGAGGAGCCACCGCGATGGGCTCGGAGAGCCTGGGAGAGCGCGAGGTGAGCTGAGCCGGGACGGAGCAGGACTGCGGCTGGGGGGCCCCAACCCTCCAGAGCAGCGCCCCCCCCCCCCCCCGGGATTCACCGCCACACCACGTGGGCAGGGACTGAAAGGCCCTGCCTCATAGGCCAGAAGATGTGGGGGGGGGAGGGGGGGTTTGCTGCCTCTTCCCTGGGGTCCCGCACACCATGGACAGCAGCCAGTGTGCCCGCCCCTCCCCTGGGGCCGTGGGATCTCCCCCTTCCCAGCTGCCAGGCTATGCAGGGGGAGCGGGGAGCAAGACCACCTGGGGTCCCCCTCCAGGGCTTGGCTGCTCCTCAGGGCAGGCACCTGGCTCGCCAGGGCGCTCATGCTGGCCTGTGCCTGTCTGTTTCCCAGAGGACCTGTCTCCTTCCCTCTGAGGGAAGGCTGAGGAGGGAGGGAGTGCCTGCAGCCCGGGGGGGGGGGGGGGGGTCTCGCTTTTGTGATGGAGAAGCACCTGCACAGGGGACACCACCAGCAATGACAGCTGCTCCAGCCTGCACCAGCTCATCCTGTCCTCCCCACCTCCTCCTCCTCCTCCTCAGCCTCCACCACCGCCCCTTCCTCCTCCCTCCTCATCTTCTTCCATCCCCCTCCTGCTCCTCCCCATCCTCCACCCCTCCCCCTCCTCCTTCCCCTCCCCCTCCCCCTCCTCCTCAGTCACCTCCTCCTCCCCCTCCTCCTCCCTCTCCTCCTCTTCCTCCAGGGTCACCTCCTCCTCCTCCTCTTCTTCCACTTTCTCCTAGTCCCCCACCTCTTCCCCCTCCTACACCTCCTTCCCCTCCCCCACCTCCTCTTTCCCTCCTCCCCCTCCCCCTCCTCCTCCTCTCCTCCCTTGCTCATGTCCCAGCCTCGGGATCCCAGGATGTCCCTCTGCACGATCCAGGGTCACGGCAGGCGCTGATGCCAGCCCGGGTCTGAGCAGGGTGGCGGCCGGCTCTCATGACTGTTGGCCCGCCCCTCTGGACAGGAGAGGAGCAATGAGCCAGCAGCAGGGAGCAGGTCAGTACAGGGGTCAGTGTGCCCAGTGGGTGCCGGGACAGGAGTCAGGGTGAGGCGGAAGGGCAGGAGCCTCAGAGGGGCACCTCTGGGGCTCTCCGAACCCTTTCTCACTCGTGTGAGCCCCGCCCCCCCCGCCCCCCCCCCCCCCCCGCCAGTAAACTCCTGCTGTATTGGGCACAAGTGCACAGGAGCAGAGGCCGGGCCCTGCCTCTCAGGGACTCCCTCTAGCCGGGACAAGGGACAGTCCGCGAGCACAGAGCCCCTGAGTCTGCAGGGCGGATGGAACAGCACAATGGGGGAGGGGAGGGCATCCTGACAGGGGAGCAACTTCAGCCAAGTCCAAGGTGGGGCATAGAGGTGCTTGGGCTCCGGTACTGTCCATCGCTGCAGCCCTGCTGGCCCCGGGGCTTCACCCCCAGGTACCGGTCACGTTGAGCCCCAGGCTGGCACAGGCTTCTGGATGCTGTCAGACCTGTCCCTCCTCTGATGGCCCATCCTGCTGTTGTAGCTCGCTGGCTGTGTGGGAACATGGAGGGAGGGTGTCTCTGGGGTCTGGCCAGCCCTCTTCCAGGGGGGGATGCGGGTCCCGTGAGTCTGCAGCCCCCTGGGAACGCCTGTGCTCCTGCTCTGTCTGGGTTTGTGCAGGGCATTTGAGAGGGGGTGGCTGGCACGTAGCGGAGCTGAGCCGGCAGCCCCTCTGCATGGGCTCAAGGCCTGGGTCACGGGAGGCTCTGCCCTGTTCCTGCACCTGCCTGCCCCACCGCCTCCGGGAGGAGGCTGGCGGGAAGGCTGATCAATTTTAATTAGCTTTAAGCCTCCGTCGAAATAATTCTGGCTTCTGCCAGAAAAGGCACAGAAAGCTTCGATCCCTTCCTAAGCAGCTTCCTAATGCAGGAAAGGTCCAATCTGCTCTCGCGGCCAGCAGTGCTGTGTTATTGCCACCATGACCTGGACTTCGGGGCAACCCCATGAGGTGTTATTCCTCCCCTCCTCTAGCACTCAGAGAAGCGGGTCTTGTCCGGGGAGGGGGGAGCCCATGTTCTGTACCCCTGACCTCGGATGCTCAAGGCCGTCCTGGCCCTGCTCATCCTCATGCTAGTTCGCGCTCCCCGGGCTGGGCTGTGCGCCCTGCAGGGCAGATGGGGCAAGGTGCTCAGGAGTGACAGTGACCTGTGACAACGTGACTAGGTGTCCACTGGGACCAGGATCTGTGCTAGGGGCTGAAGGTGACAGAGATGACCAAACCGGATGAGTGACCTATCTCCCTCCCCCACTCCAGGCCCATGACACTCCTCGTGGTCAGGTCCTATGCGTTAGCCAGTCACTCTCCTGACCCTCATTTTGTCCTTTGGGGCCAGGAACTGAGGACTGGGGTTCCCTGCCGGGGGGGTTGGGGTGTGCACGCGTGCGCAGGTGTGCTGAACCAGCCCAGGCCTCCATCCCTCTCCAGTACAGAGGGGTGCAAAGGCCAGGGAAGCTCCCAGAAAAGTATCCTGGAGCCTGGGGACAATAAGGACTTCACTCCACTTCACTTCACTTCACGTGGTGGCCCCTTCCCGCACCAGCGCACAGAGCTCTCCCCCTCTCCACCTCTAGGCTGTCCTCAGGCTGGGGCCACCCCCACACCCCCTGTCCTGCAGAGTCTCTCACAGGCTCTGAGCCCAGCACTCCTGCCTTCCAACTTGCTCCCGCCGCCTGGCGCACTCCCAGACGCGCGCCCACTCCAGAGGCCGCCCCCCTCATCACCCCGCCTGCTCCCCTCCCAGCCTGGCCCCGCGGGCAGCACCCCAGAACAGGAGGGAGAGGGCTCACACCCGGATAGGGGGCAGTGTCTAGGGGCTGTGCATCCCTGATCGGGTCTACGAGTCCCGGAGGAGGGAGGGCGCGTGGGGGTCGGGGGGAGTGGTGTGGTGCGCGTCCTGGGCGAGCGCGCGTTCCGGAAGGTGTGTTCCCAGTGGGTGGGCGCGTCCCCGAGGGGGAGGGCGCAGGCTAGGGGCGGACTCTCTGCGGCCCCACCCTCGAACGCGTCCCTGGGCGCCCCCCACGCACCCAGCCCGGCCGAGCCGACCGCGCGCCACAGCCATCCGGCCATGGAGACGCTAGAGCCGCGGCGTCTGCAGCTTCTGCTGCCGCTGCTGCTGCTGCTGTGCGGTAAGGGGACGCGGGGTCTGGCGCCGGGACGCCCCAACACCCTCCGGGGCCACGGAGACCCGCCGGGCTTCGACTTCCCTCACCCGCGCCTGGCCGCGCCTCCTGCCCGGCGCGCCAGGCTCGGGAGGGGCGAGGAGGGGGTACGCCGGCGCCATCCCCAGACTCTGCGGTGGGGCAGGGTTGGGGGGAGTTCCTGTCCACTCTCCCCGGAGGAGCTGAAGGCGACGGACCGGGGCTGGGAAGGGAGGCGCGGGGTGTCCCGCAGGATCCTCCCGGCCAGCTCCTCACAGCTGCGATGTCCCCGGTGTCGCTGCCAGCGGTCTGGGGATGACATGGAGCCAGCGGCGGCGGGTCCGGCTCCCGCTTCCCTGTGCGGTAGTGAGCTCCCCGTCCTGTGGCTCTCCCATGCACACCACGCTCAGGGCGTGGGTGAGAGGAATCCAGACCCGGAAGAGCTGGTCCCTTCCACCTGTAGTTGTCCCCAGGAGGACAGCCCTTAAATGTGTGTGCTCGCGCGCGCGCGTGTGTGTGCGCGCGCGGGCCCCCGTGCGCACGCGCCCCCGCGCGTTTGCGCGTGGCTCCTGCAGGACAGGGGAGGGGACAGCTCTCTGAGGCTTCCCTCGAGATCTCTTTTCCAGCAAGAAAATGGGGCTCCAGGGAGGATACATTGTTTACGAATTGGGAATGGATTGAATAAAAAGCTTCTTTTGGAAAATTTTACTAATGAAATGATCCCAGATCAAGTAAGAGGGTGTGTGTGCTTTTGGGGAGGGCTTCCCTGGCAGAGGCCTGCTGGGGCTGGGGCTTGCTGGGCAGGCTGCTGAGGTGAGGTGGGCAGCCCTGACCCCGGGGTCAGAGGGTCCAGGGCCTTGCTAAGGGGTCCCTGTACCCTGGGTCCTTTGGGATGTCAGCCTTGCCCTCGCTGTCACATTACCCCGGCTGTGAGATGCAAAGTTGAGCTTGTGTGATAATCGTCCTCAGCTTTGCTGGTTTGGAACTGGTTGCAGAGGTGAGAAAGGGCTGGATGAGCCCCTTGGCTTCCCAGTCTCCGGACTACCCTTCCACCGCGGAGATGTCTGGGTGGAGAGACTGTGGCTTCATCTCACCTCCCAGGATTAGAGCCTGGGCTCAGGTGGATTTCTGGTTGAAGGAAAGGGTGCGTGGTGGCTCCCAGACATCAGGAGCACACAGACGTGGGATTTCAGGAAGCTTCAGAGCGAGCCCCCCAGACTGGAGATTTGGTTTGTCAAGGAAAGGGATGCCTTTGCTTCATTTCCAGGACCCGCCTTCAGCAAGGAATTGTGAAGGACCAGAGGCAGACCCCAAACACACATCTTCTGCGTTAACAACACGGGGCTCTTGCCTGGAGGGCCACCCGGTCCTCCCTCGGGGGTTCTGTGGTCTCCCTCCCCCGCCAGGGTGGGGCCAGGCCGGCCTCCCTGCAGACCCCGCCCAGTGCTGGTCCTGCCAGAGTGAGGGCTTTGGGGAAGTGGCTGCTGAGTGAGTGAGGTGCCTGGAAAGGCCAGACCTGCTCATGGTCACGTGCCATTTGTCAGAGGTGGGGGCGAGCCCTGGATGTTGTTGCATCTGGAAAGAGGGCCCCAGGGCTGCCCGCCTCTGCGGGAAGTGGGGGCCTGGCCCTCCAGGGAGGCCACTTCTTGCCGGCAGACGCTCATCCAACACCGCCAGGCAACGAAGGTGAATTCAGGTTTCTTGGGCAAATTCCGGAACTCCATTCAGACACAGCAGCTACTGTGAGGGTCCTCAGGGTGGTGACGTCCCGCAGACATCTGTGCTCGTCCCCGTGCCCAGTCCTCGATTGTACTCTTTGGTCTGGGTGCGAATCCTGGGGCCTCTCTGCAACTGCTTAATCCTAACATCATAAGTCACTTACCGGCCTCAGTTTCCCCGATGCAGTGTGGCTACAGAAAGAGTGAGCTGGGAAGGGCTATTGTGAACTTCAGCTGGATTCTGTCGGTTTTGTCCCCATCACCCTGTGCCAGCCCCAGGGGGCTTGAGGTAGACCTAGGGGTGTGTGGGAAGGCACTCACCGGTGCCTGGCTCATGCACCGTGGGTACGAGAATTGGGCAGCGGCCTCACCGTGGCTCCCAGCACCCCCAGGCAGCGGGAACGTAGCACTCAACATTTGTCCATGGTCAGAGTCATGGTGTCCTGATGCCCTGTCCCCTTCTGTCACTCTGACTGATAGGGACTCAGCGGGGCCCAGGTGCGGCGGCTGGATGCCAGGCACCCCAGTGACCGCCCAGACGTGGTGGTTGAGGGCGCCTTAGAGGTCTTCTGGGGCCACTCCTCATTTTATAGATACGAAACTGAGGTCCAGGAAGGAGGGGCCTGTCCAGACTGCAGGGGCAGGGGCAGAACCTTCCAGAAATGATGGGCACCTGGGGAGCATGAGGGGCTCCCATATTTCATTTCCAAGTGGCATAAGAGGCCTTCCTCCGGGAAACATGTCTGTTAGGCTGTTTCTCGTCTCCTGGAGCCTGAAAGTCCCCAAGACAGAAGGAGCACAGACCTGTCTTTTCTTTGTTCCCCTGGTGGAGCTGACCAAAGCAGTTTTGTGTGTCACTTGAATTCCCGAGCCCTTTACTGATGTGGCTGGTGGCTTGTGGGCGCTGTCAGGAAGCTGCATCTCTACCTGCTGGTATAACCCTGGCTGGGCTGTTGGCTTTTGCCGGGAGCCCAGGGCGGGCACCAGACATGGTGCCAAAACGTCCCTTCTCTCCCTCGCTCCAGACACTTCTGGTTGGTCCGGCAGGTGTCCCATGGTGTCCGCCACTTGTAGGCCCAGCGGTGGTGCTGTCCTGGCATCCTTAAAGGCACATTTCCGCCCAGGCTTGCCCAGGCTCCTGGGCCCTTTGAGGGGAGGCGTATTCTGGGGAGACTCTGGTCCAGGAAGGAAGAGGAGGGGGGAGAGAAGAAAGGGGGGCCAAGGGCAGCAGGAAGAGAACAAGAGGGAAGAAGTGCTGAACTGGGTCTTAGTGGTTTGACAGCAGGTGGTTAGGACATGCTGGGGTGTCCAGGAGCTCCAGGTCCAGGGGTTCCAGGTCTGGAGGCTCCAGGTCCAGGTCCAGGAGCTCCAGGTCCAGGGGATGCAGGTCCAGGGGCTCCAGGTCTGGAGGCTCCAGGTCCAGGTCCAGGGGCTCCAGGTCCAGGGGCTCCAGGTCAGGGGCTTCAGGTCCAGGGGATGCAGGTCCTGGGCTCCAGGGGTTCCAGATCCAGGTGCTCCAGGTCCAGGGACTCCAGGTCAGGGGCTCCAGGTCCAGGGGATACAGGTCCTGGGCTCCAGGGGGTCTAGGTTCAGGGGCTCCAGGTCCAGGGAATGCAGGTCCTGGGCTCCAGGGGCTCCAGGTCCAGGGGATGCGGGTCCTGGGCTCCAGGTCCAGGTTCAGGAGCTCCATGTCCAAGGGATGCAGGTCCTGGGCTCCAGGGGGTCCAGGTCCAGGGGCTCCAGGTCCATGTTCAGGGGCTCCAGGTCCAGGGAATGCAGGTCCTGGGCTCCAGGGGCTCCAGGTCCAGGGCTCCAGGTGCTCCAGGTCCAGGTTCAAAGGCTCCAGGTCCAGGGGCTCCAGGTCTGGGTCCAGGTGCTCCAGGTTCAGGGTCTCCAGGTCCAGGGGCTCCAGGGGGTCCAGAGGAGCAGGTCCCATTGTCGAGGTCCAGACTAGGTATCTGAACAGGTAGGTGGTCCCGGTCCACATGAGCTCTTTCTGGGAGGTGTGGCAGCAGCCAGCAGGAGGTGACACGTGTGGACCCGTGTGGGTGGAGTTCAGGAGACTCAGATGGGATATGGAGATGATCCCACAAGGGGAAGGCCAGGCCCAGGGATGCATTCCAGCGCTGGGCGTGGAGAATGCTGGTGGGCTTCCAGCGCCTACAGTGGGACGCCCACTGGGGAGCTGCAGAGAACGGCGCCTTTGGAATAGGGCAGCGATGGGAGAAAGGAATGCAGACTGGCTCCGTCATCATTCCCCTCCACGTGGCCCCTGAGGGCCTGTACTCCTCAGAGTCACCAACACCTGGCCCACGTGGCCCTGGACCCAGGGCTGCCTTCCTGCTCGCAGGCAGGGCGGGTGCAGCTGGGGAGGGAGGAGGAGGGCCCGCTCTGCACACCCTGGCTTATACTGACTATGCTCTTGGCTGTGGGAAAGTCACTTTTCCTTTGGGCCTGTTTTTAGCATATTGGTTTTTTTTTTTTAAATGTTTATTTATGAGGGAAAGCGAGAGCGAGAGCGAGAGTGAGAGAGAGAGAGAGAACAAGTTGGGGAGGGGCAGAGAGAGACAGAATCCGAAACAGGCTCCAGGCTCCGAGCTGTCAGCACAGAGCCTGATGCGGGGCTTGAATTCACAAACCATGAGACCATTCCCTATGCCGGTCAGATGATTAACAGACTGAGCCACCCAGGCGGCCCTCCTTTGGGCCTTTAAACCAGGGGGATGGGGGGCAGGAGGCCTGATGCTGTTCCTCAGGCAAACCAAGGATGGGATTGGCATGAGGATGTCGGCCCAGGCTGGTGTGTGGGCCAGGCATGTGGCTTGCGTTTGACTCCCCATCACATTACTGAGCAGTTGGATGCCCTTCCCTGCGTGGTGACCATGTCTTTAAGGACCTCCGAGGGCGGGACCTTATTCAGGACAGGGCACTCTGTGGAGACGGCAGGCACCTCTTGAAGGGACGTCAGCTTGGGTCTTGGCTGTTGCTTGCCTGGGACCCTGTGGTGCAAAGTCTCTGAGGTTGGGTTCGGGGGAGAGCTCTGGGATTGGACACTTGGGGTGTCTGGGTGGCTCAGTTGGTTGTGTCTGACTCTTGATTTCAGCTCAGGTCATAATCTCACGGTTTGTGAGACTGAACTCCCCACTGGGCTGTGCGCTGATAGCATGGATATCTGGTGATATTCTTTGCTCTGAAATATACTTCATTCAATAGTCGTATAACCACCCCACCTTTCTTTGGATTAGTAGTAGCATGATATGTCTTTTTCTACCGTTTTCCTTTGAATGTATTTGAGTCTTTTTATTTAAAGTGGGATTCTTGTGAACAGCTGCAGTTGGAGCTTGTTTATTGATCTCATTTACCAACCTTTGCCTCTTAATTGGAGTGTCCAGACCATCGACCTAAATCTGACTATTGGTGTGGTTTGGTGTAAATCTAATCATTTTTACCGTCAGTACTTTTTCTCTTCTCTTTTTATCTGTCTCCTTTTGGACTTAATTAAAAAACAAACAAACTTCTCACTGCCTTGGCCTCTTTGCTCTTGCCTCCCTCTGTCCCTCCAGAAGTGCCCTTATGGTCCTGGGGCCACCCTCCGTGAGGCACCCAGCCCCTCCTTGAGCCAGCAGCAGCTTCCCCGTCTGTGCGATGGGAGCACCGGAGGACCGTGGCCCTTCTGTGGGGATGACCTGGCCGGTGTGGCAGAATCGGGGTGGTTCTAAACCTGCCAATTCCTGGTGACGGACATTTCTTTTGCACCTTCTTGTGCTCAGAGGGAGAAGCACTTGGTAGAACACATGCTGTGCAATTTGCACTGCTGCCCTCGGGAACTGATCATTTGTTCACTCATTCTCTTGAAAAGTCTTTTTGGAATACCAGTGAGGCGCTGGTGGTTCGGGGAGTGAGGGAGCAGCTGGCAATTATTAAACACCTACAGTAACAACATCGTAAAGATGGGAGCCTCTGTGAGCACATGACTGACGCCTGTCAGCACAGCCTCCTTGTGAGGCGGGGCCTGTTTCCCTCATTGCAGATGGGGAAACTGAGGTGTGAGCCCAGGTCTGCCCGGTTCTGAGTGTGGGCCTTTCTCCTGTTTCCTCCCCCGTGGTTCCTCCTGCAGCGTAGTACCCTGTGCCAGGACACACATAGCAGGGCTGTCCAAATGAACACACACACACACACACACACACACAGATGTGCACACACATGTACACACACACACAGATACCCGGACACACGTGGCTATGGGTACACACACACATATAGGCACACATACCAGCACACACACCGCAGGGCTCTGTGCACACACAGACACACACACATAGACGCACACACATGCAGACACACATCGCAACACACTATAGGGATCATGGGAGGGAAGGGTGCCAGTCCTGAAGGAGACAGATGGACTCTGTGGGTAGGGAACTGAGCTGGGGGAAGGTGGAGGCAGAGGGAGCTGGATGTGGGGGTAGAAGTGGGGGTGAGGGGTATGCTGGGAATCCCGGGGGAGCCTGGCGGGGGGGGGAGGCAAAGATCTGGCCTCTGCTTCTGGAACATGAGTCCTTGTGTCATGTTGCCCTGGGACTCCTGCAATCGAGGGGCAGCTGGTAGTGTTCACACGTGTGGGGCCCCCGCTGATGCCCTTGCGGTCCTGGACAGTCAACAGGCCCTCCGCATCTTTCTGGGGACATGTGCTGGGCACTCCAGACCCTCAAGCTGCTGTGGGGCCTCTCTGCCATCCCTGCTTGGCGGGACCCACTCCCACCCCCGTCGAGCGCCCAAGCCCATCTGTTCTTGGCCTCCCCGACCCCCCAGGAGACACATCCCCTGCCCGCTGCCCTCCCTTGACTTCTCTCCCCACACCCTGATGGGGGCCCACTGTCATGGGAGGTCCTGTCTCGGTGACACCCATGTGGGTCCCTTTTTGTACCCCGTCTCGGGGCCACACAGGGGAGGCTGGGTGAGGGCTGTGGGGTGGGGAGCGTCAGCAGGAGGGCTCCAGGGTCATGTTGCAAACCATGTCCCCAGCAGTGGAACGACCACGCTGTCCCCTCTCTAGGTGGCTGTCCCCGAGTGGGGGGCTGCAACGAGACACGCATGCTGGAGAAGCTGCCCCGGTGCGGGAAGGCTTTTGCCGACATGATGCGCACGGTGGATGTCTGGAAGTGGTGCAACCTGTCGGAGTTCATCGTGTGAGTGTCCCGGCCCTGCCCCTGCCGCTCTCCCCTTCCCACCCCTGCCTCCTGGCCCTCCCGGCTGCCACCCTGCCCCTGTCACCCTCCCCTGCATCTGCCGTACCCCTGCCTTCCCTGCCGTGTTCCTGCCCCTGCTGCCCTCTCCTGCCCTAGGCGATGACCCTGCACCTGCCACCCTCCCAGCCTCTACTCTGTACCCGCTGCCCTCCCCTGCCCACCCCTGCCCCGACATGCCCTTCCCTCCCCTCCCCTGCCCATTCCCAATAGATGCAGAAATTGCATTCCATTTGGTTTGGGAACAGCTCCTTCACGCTGACCTCACTGGGTCCATGCAGGGGTGTGGGTATGGACCTTGCTGCCAGAACCACTGTCTGTGGGGCACTGGGCATGGAAGCCCCTAGAACACGTGTTGGGGATGGGGAGCAGGGGGCCAGGGTTTGGAGGAATCTGGGCTGCTGCAGCTGAGCAGACCCAGGGCTCCTGGGGGGCAGGGCTCCAGGGGGCACATGGGGCTGTGGTGCCTCCAGCAGAGCGCTGGCTGAGGGGGAGCAGAGGTGCTCTGGGAGCCGCAGTGGCGGGGAGGGAGGCACCGGGAGGCCCTGGGTGACAGGGGATGCAAGGACGAAAGGTCATGCAAACACCTCCTTCATTATGAAGAACCCCTCAGTTTTGTCTCCAGCCTGAGCAAGGGCTGGTGAGTCAACAGGTCTTGGGGCTGTGTGTGGACGGCAGGAAGTGGGGGGTCCTGTCGTCTGCAGCCCCTCGTCCTGTGCCCAGCCGTCGGTAGCATTCTGGAGAGGCACCAGGCAAGAGCACTTTGCACGTGGCCTCTGGGAGCCGATCCACAGAGATGGTGCTGTGTTCAGCTGTGCACACACATATGCATGCGGCCTCTCGGGTTACCTAGTGGATAAGTGATATGAGCCTCACCTATGGAGGAGAAACTGAGGCTCAGGGACATAAGAAACATAGCTGGGGGAAGCCTGTCTGGTGCACTGTTCCAAGCTGCCGTCCGGGGGCATGGGGCAGGGCTCCACAGCCTGGCTTTGCATACTTGCGTCCAGCCTCACTCTGCCTCATCTCAGCTCCCCCCAGAACCTGGGGAGGGTAGTGGGGACCCTCCAGGAGGCAAGGGAGTCAGAACACAGAGTTCCCTTCCGACTCCGGGGATGGGGGCTGCCCCAGGCAATGGCCATGGCCAGGTGTCAGGTCGGACGCCTCCTGGGGCAGGTCGCTGAGCCCGGGTGTGCAGGGCTCACCTGGCTTTCTGTGGGGCCATGGGGTTTCTGTGGACCTGTTCCAGGCACATCCCAGGGTCTGGATGTGATTCAGCCTGTCTCCTTTGCTTCTGGCCCTCTTTAGGCTGTGTGGGCTCCTCCTTGTAGGCATTATGGGGGGGAGGGGCCTGGGTGCGTGACCTGCATTCCAGTATCTGGGCTGGGACCTGGTGGGCGCCAGGAGGGGCTGGCCAAGTGGGTCTGCTGCCCCCCATTTCCTATCTCCTGTTGGGCAGATGGAGTCTGTGCAAGAAACTCCTTGCGGGAAGCAGGTCTTTCGTGTTGGGGGCTCAGGCCAGACCACCTTCCCCAGGACGGTGGGGGAAGCCGGGGGTGGGGCCCAGAGCCTCAGGCCTGTCTCACCCCAGCCTGCACAGCCGTGAGGACCTGCTTGCCCTCCTGCTCCTGTCCTTGTGTGCCTCGCTCAGCCAGGCGGCGGCACAGGCAGTGGACAGAGCGGGTGCACCCCACCAGGTGTCCGTCCAGCCCTCTCTCCAGAGCACTTTGGATGGTGGGTGGCAGTCGAGGACCCCACCTCCGGAGGCTGCTCGTTGTATCCAGGGCTAGGCGGGTCCTGGTGGCTGCACCTCAGTCAGCTGTTAGGACTGTCCAGAGGCCACCTGATGGACAATGAGGCATGTCACTCGGGTTTGGTGGGGAGGGACAGGGAGGCCCGTGGGGGAGGCCGGTGGGGAAGGAGGCCAGAGCTTGTCCTGTCCAATGGGGGCTGTCCCCTCCCGACCTGGCAAATAAGCAACTGGCGCTCGACCTCAGAGAGACCCTCCCTGGGGCCCGCAAGAGCATCCAGATGACGAGGGCCCTGCGGGTCCTGCACCCCTCTGCCTTGGAGAGAGCGGCAGGCCCCTTGTGTCCTCTGGGCAGACCTGGGAGGGCTCTGCGGGCTCCTGGCTTCACAGGGAGCTGGTCATGGGCTTGAGGTGTGGGCTGAACTCAGCCTCAGGGCTTCCTTGCCCTGTTCTTTGTTGAGATGCAAGGTTTGGGGGTTGGGCTGGATGAGGTCGTGGTCGCTGGGCTGGCATGGGGGCGTCCTGCCAGCTGGAGTAGACCATAGTTGTGTGCCTGGAGAGGGGGCTCAGGCTCGGGGAGAGCAGGGGAGGAGAGGCTCCGGGCAGGGCATGGTCACCTCACCCAAGGAGCCTCTGGTTAACGAGGCAAAGAATGGACGCTTGGGGCCCAGCAGTCTGACAGGGTCCGGAGGGCACTCCCATTCCGGCTGTCTGAGGACACCTCCCCCCCTACTTCCCCTCCTAGGATTGGGCCCCCTTCCCCTGCCCTCCAGGGTCAAGGCCGGCAGGAGGCAGGCCAGGGAGCCCACCCGCACCGCTCTGCCTCTGCAGGTACTACCAGAGCTTCACCAACTGCACGGAGGTGGAGACCAACGTGGTGGGCTGCTACTGGCCCAACCCGTTGGCTCAAGGCTTCATCACCGGCGTCCACAGGCAGTTCTTCTCCAACTGCACCGTGGACAGGACGCACTGGGAGGACCCCCCGGACGCGGTGCTCATCCCCCTCATCGCCGTGCCGGTGCTGCTCACCGTCGCCATGGCCGGCCTGGTGGTGTGGCGCAGCAAGCGCACGGGCCAGCTGCTGTGAGGCGGTGGATGGGTGGGTGGGGGCGCCCCCAGAGGAGGGTCTGGGCTAGCTGCTGTGAGGGGGAGGGGGCCGGGGAGCCGGCGGAGGCTGCCCTGCCGCCCAGATCCCGCCTGGCGGCTTGCCGGGCTCAGCCCGCTCACCCAGCTTCGTCCTCCTTCCGGGACGAGAGCGCACCGAGGCCCAGCCTGGCGCTGGAATGAATCACTGCTGCTGTGCCCGCCTCCCAGGATGGGTTGGGGCCTCCAGGGTTTCCGGGCCTTCCTGGTCCCAGCCCTGGCCTCTGACCCGGACCCCAACCCCAGCCTGGCTCGGACTTCACCTCCCAACCCGACCCCAACTCCTGTCCTGACCCCACCTCCTCCCTGACCCCACCTCCTCCCTGACCCCACCACCTTCCAACCTGGCCCCACCCCTATCCTGCCCCCACTCCTGCCCTGCCCCCACCCCCAAATAGGCCCCACCCCTCTTCTGACCCCACCCCCTGCTCTGACCCCACCTCCTGCCCTCACTCCACCTTTGGCCTGGTCCCACCCCTGCCCTGACGCCTCCGCCTTCCCTGACCCCACCTCCTGACCGATCCCACGCTCTGTCCTGGCCTCACCCCCTTCTGGCCCTGCTGTGGGCCCCCCTGGCCTGGCCTGCCCACTCCCACCTGCACTGGGTTGGGAGACTGTGGGCCGGGTGTTCGTGCGGCCTGGTGTGCTGTGTCTAAGCCCTCCTGGCCCGGAGCCCCTGCACGTCCCGCGGCCAGAAAGCTCGTGAGACTGAGAGTCAGGCCGGAGACTCCCTGGGGCCATGCGCCGCCTGAGACCCCTGTCTGTCTGCGCCCACAACCAGGGGCCAGGACGCGGTGGGGGCAGGCCTCCTTCCTGGTCCCTGTGAACCAGGCGCCTCGGGGCTGGGGTCCTGTGAGCCCCAGCACCGGCTGAGCTCTGTCTGTGCTATGTGCTTTCCCCGAGTAAAGAGTCATCTTGCTTCTGGGGTGTCCTGTTTTATTTCCGGGTATTCAGAGAGGGGCCCACCTCTTGGAACTGACGGGTCCTCATACCTGTTTTCCAGATAGGGAACGACTGCGGTCCCAGAATCCTGAAATGTCAGAGCCCGACAGCTCGAAGCAGGGGAGTGGGGGCGGTTGGAGGGACCTGCCATTTGGCAGGCAGCCTGGTCTTTCTGGGTGGAGGGGAGACTGTCCTTCTGTGCACATCTGGCAGTGTCTCAGGTCCCTCATCTCTGAATGCTGAGTGGGTGTCCCTGGAGACCAAGGTACTCCCAAGCACCAGAGGCTGCCTCCCTTCGCCTGAATTCTGGGCTCCAGGTGTTTAGAATGATGCTGTTTTAGTCTCCCTGGGCGGCTACAGTGAAACACCGCAGACCAGTATTTGCCCTGCAAACAGTAGGAATCTACCTCTCACGGTTCCAGAGGCTGGAAGGTCCAGGACCGCGGCTGGGGGCGCGCCCTCTGCTGAGGACCCGCATCTGCCTCACGGTGTCCCCTCTGGGCGGGAGGGGTGAGGGGGCTCTCTGGGGTTTCCTTCACGAGGAGCGCACCTAGGAAGGCCATCCCATGGGGCACTGGGAAGTCAACACAAGGGTCTGGGGAGGACGCACGTGTTCTGACCTCAGCAGATGTGAAAGAGACCTTGTTTTTCAGTGGCCGCGTCTGTGCCCAGGGACAGTCAGGACGAGATAAAACAATGACATCATTGTTTTTGCAGTGTGCCCTGTGGCTGTGATCACAATAAGGTGCATTCACGGGCATCTCTCTTACATGGATTTGCTTTCCTTTTTAATTTTTAAAAATGTTTATTTACATTTGAGACAGAGAGAGAGAAAGAGCGCGCGCGAGCGTGCGTGGGGGAGGGGCAGAGAGAGCGCGAGGGAGACAGAATTCCAAGCAGGCTCCAGACTCTGAGCTGTTAGCACGGGGCTCAAACTCATGAACCGTGAGATCATGGCCTGAGCTGAAGTCAGACGCTCATCCGACTGAGCCCCGCAGGCGCCCCTGAATTTGCTTTCCTGTAGAAGTCGTACCGTTGGAGGATTGACTTCTCAATCTAGAGACCAACACCAAATAGATCCTAGTGATGATCAATAAGATATCTGGGAAGCACATGTTCTCTTGCTTACCCAGCCCTAATTAACCAGGTGGTGGGAGTCTCAAGGACTCCTGTCTGAGACGGGGGCGGTGGTGGGTCTGGGATCAGCTCCGCAAGGTCCAGGAGCCCTCAGGAAGAGGCTGCACAGAACTCCGCAGCCTCAGAGGACATGGAGCATGAGCAGTTACAGGGAGGAGGGAAATGGAGAACATTGGAACAGATCTCCTCTCCAAATCGAAAGGTTGTGTAAACACACATTGGAAGTGGGGGTGTATAACCGCTAACAAGCTCAACACAATCTGCATCTAACGTTTATGATCTATTGACCTGTCTATCCTTCCCAAGTGGAAATATTCATCCTTTTGAAACACCCAAGGGAAACCAACAAAAGTTGAAATGATTTTGGTCCCATTCTTGGGTTAGAAGGACTGAAGAATGAAAGAAAGAATCTTTTTACTTGGAAATTACAAACTTTCTTAAAAAAATTTTTTTTAATGTTTTATTTATTTTCAAAAATAAAGACACGCAGCGTGAGCCGGGGAGGGCAGAGAGGGAGACACAGAATTGGAAGCAGGCTCCAGCCTCTGAGCTGTCAGCACAGAGCCCAATGCAGGGCTCGAATGAACCCACGAACTTCGAGATCATGAACCTGAGCCAAAGTTGGACGCTTAACCGACTGAGCCACCCTGGCGCCCCACAAACAAACCTTCTGTATAATTTTTGGGTTCAAGAGGTAATAAAGATGGAAATCACAATCATTTTCGAGTCTGCATGGATAAAAGCACGTCTGCACCAGCACACAGGCTGCATTTGCGCTCGGCAGTGGGGAGGGTGCGCGAGGTGTCTGGTGCTCAGTGTGACTGAGGGGGCTGAGGGGGCAGCAGGGGACGGTACCCCTCTCATATCAGCTGCCTGCCATGTGTGTGGGGTAAGCGCTGGCCAATGTTGATGGGGCCCCAAACCACAGCATGGACACAACAGTGTGTAACTTTAGATGTATTTCCAGAAAATATGAAAGATTGGGGTGCCTGGGGGGCTCATTCGGTTAAGCGTCTGACTTCGGCTCAGGTCATGATCTTCATGGGTTCAAGTCCCACCTCGGGCTCTGTGCTGACAGCTCCAAGCCTGGAGCCTGCTTCAGATTCTGTGTCTCCCTCTTTTTGCTCCTTCCCTGCTCACGCTCTGTCTTCTCTCTGTCTCTCAGAAATGAGAAATAAATAATGATGGAAACAGAGGTAATGAAGTAAAAAAGACACAGAGGCTTCGATCAATAAAACGGGTCTTTGTCCACAGATGACCGATGCGGTGGGGACCTGAGTGCGACGGTCTCCGTGAACGAAGTTGGGCCGTCACTCAGTGTCACCTCTAAAGTATGGCTGCAGGCCTCACAGGTTTGCTAGTACTTTCCGCCGTTGGTTCCTATGTGATGGATGACCTGTTCCAGATCCTAGACAGACGGGAAGCGCCCTAAATAATGGTGCGCAGCCAGGAGCACCAGGACCCGCCAGGACGGGGTTTAGGTAGCAGACAGCAGGAGCCGGACCGACCAGAAGCATCTTGGCCACGTTTGTAGTTATATTGTGCACACTTTTTATCTTCTGTGATTTATGATGTTTTGGCATCTTACAGACTCTTTCTGGCTCGGGAGGCTGCCCCTCACCCCCCGCCCCGGGTTAGCAGGTCTCAGAGCCAGCGGAGGGCCCAGCAGAATCATGCCTTTGATGTGCACACTGGCCAAGGAGGCAGTACCTGTGCCTTCCTCATCCCAGGACCGCGGACCAGGCCGCTGGGGACAGCCCCGGATCTTAGAAGCTGCTGGAATTATTCAAGATAGCCATTTTGAGGTGATCACCCTGCCCCGCCGTTTCCTGTGGGAATCCCAGAAGAGACTCTGGCCCAGGCTCCCCACTCCGGACCACCCTGGGGCCTCCTCATCTGTGAGCCCTAAAGGTCCAATAACCTTTGTTTCTCGAGCCTCTCCTGTGTCTTGTCTTGTGGCGCAGCGACTGGCATCCCGTTAAAGGACACGGCCAGTGGCCGGGGCAGTGACTCAGGGACCTCATGAGGGAACCATGTCACAACCTCCCTCCTTGAACTTGAAGCTTTTCACCTGCATCCGAGCATGAAGCAGGAGGTGAGGGGAAGGGTAAAGACATTTCCTTCTTGGGATTCCACCTTTTTTTTTTTTTTTTTAATTCATTTGTGTATTTTGAAAGAGACAGACAGTGCTGGTAGGGGAGAGGCAGAGAAAGGAGAGAAAGAATCCCAAGCAAACTCCAGGGTCCGAGCTGTTGGCACAGAGCCGGATGCGGGCCTCGAACCCATGAACCGTGAGATCATAACCCGAGCCAAAGTCAGATGCTCAACAGACTGAGCCTCCCAGGCGCCCCTAATTAAGCTGATTAAACAGTGCCCGGCCACCTCACGTGTGAGGTGGGTGTGTGTATGTGCCCCGGGGCTTCTGAGATGGTGAGTGCATGAGGCTTGTGAGGCACCCGGTCTGAGAACCCCACCCTGGCTGGCCAGCCAGATCACAGTGGTCAGGACTGTCCTGGTGGCCACATGCTTGTTACACCTGTTGAACCGGGGCGGGGGGGGGGGGGAACCCGCCCGGGGCTGTGTCATTGCCCTGGGGACACCAGGCCAGGCCTGGACGGCTGCAGTGGATGCAAGGCTGGGCCTCCCCGCTTCCCATCTGGGCACCCGCATTTCAGAATGCCTGGGCCTCGGGCACAGAATTGGGCTTTGCTTTGGAGTCACATCTATAAAAAGATTTCTAGGAAAAAGCCCAGCAGGTTGATTGGCAAGTTCCCACCATTCGGGGAAAGGCTGGCTGGTACAGGATGTGGCTGGAAAATGACACGTTTGTGAAGTGCCTCAAATACAAGCCCCTGCCATCCAGGGATGCTGGGTCTGTGGGGAAGACCCCACACCAATGCGGCCAGAACGCATTCTTCTCTGCCCTCTGTCATGTCCAGATGGCACGTGTGGGGTGGCCAGCCGGCCTGGACAGGTGTCCCCAGTGACAGCGAGCAGAAAGCCGGGTGGACCCATGAGCTGTAGGCATCCCCCTTCCCAGTGCAGGACTCGGGGACAGTTTCCGAGCCGCTCAGTCTGAGTCCTGAGTGGTCTCTGTGGCTCCCAGGCTCCCTGCACGGCCAGCCCCTCCGCGGCTCAGAGCTGTTTGGGGGTCAGGGGTGTTTATCAGGTACTGAGGCCCGGGCCATCCAGGAGCAGGCATCTGAGCGCATCCTTGTGGGTGGGGGTGGGAGCCATGGGGTGTGAGAGGTCAGTGGGCTCTGGGGCGACACACGAACGCTC